AAAAAAAAATACATGTAAAAAACATGCCTTCTCTTTTTTGGCCATGTATCAGAATCACCTGGGGCATTCTGGGAATGTAAAATTTAAGGTAGATCACATAACTCCACCTTTGAGGTTGAGTTCTAAATCTCAGCCGCAATGAGCTACAATAGGAGCTCATATCCAGAGATATAAGGGACACAGCAGAGATGTCTGGGAGCTTGAAGCATCCTTAAACAAGTCTACAAGTTTTATGACAATGGCCTGGAGACTTAGAGGCCTCACTGTTCACTGGAATGTGAACTGGTCTATGTTGTATATTTTTCTATCCTGAAGAACTATCACACAGCCTAAATCAAAGTAGACATATGAACAATGAGCTAATGTTAAATGGCTCCCTGTAACCAGGGAGCTGAAAGTCTACAGTAGAGATGGTAACAGCCTCACTGACAGGTGTTCCATCCACCCTTCTGTCAAGGGCCTTTAAGCATCTCTTTACCTGGAGGCAGCCTGGATGAACTATCTCATTGCAAATGCAGCATTCCATGAGCTTCTTTTCAAAGTCTTGTGTCTCTTCATTCTGATCCACTTCTCCACAGAGGGAACACGTAACTGAATGAGGCAGTCTGGGCTACAAGAGGACAAAGATCAGGACACCAGATTTAGAACCTTTTAATTTCATGTTCTCTTTAAATGAAGATGGGAGACATAGTTCACCTGGGATGCACAAAGACAAGGTAGTAAGAAGAGACTGTCAGAGGTAATTAATTCACTCTTTGTTGGCTTGCCTTTGGTCTCATATGTCCTTTCTTAATAAGGAAGGAACAGAAAACTGAACTGCTTTTCAAATACTAGTACTCTGTTTGAACATTAGATGAGTACAGCCAAAACATTCGATTATTTTCATACTAGATATCTTCCTTCTGAACTCAGGGAGAGAGGAACTCCATCTCTGCTGAGTCTCTCTGACTTACATAGGAGGAATATTACATAGTCTCTCTAGCACAAGCACCACTCCCGAAAAATCTTTTACCCAGAAGATCACTTACTGCTAAGCACTGTCTGAGGACACAGGATTGCTTCATGCGTCCAGGCCCACCAAACTTCTTCATGTCCCTGCAATAGTGGCAGACACCACATTCTCCTTGAACACACGCTTTGCATTTCCTGCAGCGTACTCTTCTCCGCCTGGCTCCAGACACAATGGGGGAGGCAGCAGCAGGCCTCACAGGCGTTAAGCGCGGAGCGGGCTTCATGGTGTGAGGCTTTGTGATGGGAATGGTAGGAACCCTTACCTTTGGCCTGGTAGGGAATTTAAGCTGGAAAAAGAAAGCAGTGAGGTCAACCTTATCTGGGCAGACTATTACATGGCAATGTACCTGACCTAGGACTTGGCAAAGCCTTGTCTGTAGGCAAGTCTGCCCCCTGCCTATTTTTAATAAACTTTTATTGGAACACAGCCATATTCATTTATTACTTATTATCTATGGCTATTTCCAAATGTTATAGAGCTATTGACACTGTGACTGCTATATCAATCTACAGAACCTCAAAACTGATAGAAAAATCAACCCCTGTCCTAACAATGATACCCCTTTCAATTTAGAGAACTGTAAGTCTTGCCCCTCCCTAAAGCTGTAGGGGTTAAGTGCCTTGTAATGAAATCACCAAAAGGCCCAAACTTCCCACTCAAACAGGACGGCAAAGTCCTGGAAGGTGAAACTAGTCTTATTAATTTATCATTCATTTAGATAGCACATAGGCAGCACATAACTTGTTATACTTCATCTAATAACATATAAGTGTGGAATAAACGATAATGTTTATATTTTAACACCTGTGTTTATTTACCTTGCTAGGGACCTTTCCAGGGATAAGACCATATTCTTCTACTTCTTTAATTTCTCATCATTTCTTCTTCTTCTTTTTTTTT